CACACCGAGAATTGAATTCTGGGATGCTTCTTAACTACTTGGCTATGTGATAGAAGCAGAACTGTTTAAATGGGTTCTATTGTCTCAAACAATAATCGCAAAGTGGCCTCCTGAACTATGAAAAAAGGAAACAGTCTCTCGAAATCGAGTCATATTCCGAATTTGCTGAAAAATTAACGAGCAATTAATTAGAGGTATACGAGCAATTGCAAAGAGAGAGAATTATACTTTATTAGGTTATATGTTGTTCCGAAGACGCGGGACGGTGAAGTCCACGATAACATTCTTTATTAACTATGTGACATGCCGCAAGAATGTGCTTGCTGCACAGTAACTATTAAGAGTGTGTGATTTTTTCATAGGCGCACGTCCGTGTCTCATCATCATCAACTATGCAGTTTAGTTCATAGTCGCACCTGTAGAAAGAGCCTCTCTATCCCTGTACAGGCCACGTTATTTTTTTATTTAATTAATTAGCTTTCAAATAAAGCGGAAAAAATAACAAGTCAAATCGCTTTACAGATCGTTTCTCAAAACTGGTGGAATTTTTCCAAACGGTATTGCAAGGATGTAGGCCAAGACCGCTAATGTTCAATCCACGTCAGTTAACTGCTACAATAGTTAGTCTTCAACCCCTTCGCTTATACCTTAAAACCTTTCAGTAGGCCATTGTTTCAGTGACTTTTATACCGATTGTCTGGTCCATCCGTGCATTTTAAACATTCGCCGAGAATAGTTTCCAGCAATTGCAAAAGACCGTCCAATGATAGTTGCAAAAACTAAAGCAAATCACTTTATGTCAACATTTTGAAAGTAAAAATTCCCCTTACTTTTTGAACATAGTTAGAACATAGCCTATGGAATAATAGAAAGATATTTTCATTTTAGAGTGTAGATAGATATCGTAATATCTTTAGAAAAGGGCGTATGTGTTAATGTTTGTATGTATTGAACATTATCTAAACTAAGGAATTTGTAATTACTATTACGTTTTTTTTAAACGCAACCGCACACACAAAACATTAAAGCTGGCTAAGGCTGCCAGTTTGATTAAAGAGTCTTTTTTAATCTGTGTGCAAAAGCTTCATGGTTTTAGTTGTTCATAGAGTTAATTATATGTTGCCTGTCTATTCGTACTAAAGTGTCGCATATTACTCTTATGTTATGCAAGTGCATAACATGTGCTCCGTCTAACTTCCAACGAAATGTTCTTTATTTTGTTCAGAAAATCACGATACGCTTTTGACGGCTGCATTTACCTGTTATTTATTTCTTTATTTTTACTATTATTATTATTTTCTTTTTTTTTTTTTTTTTTTTGAATTGAATTCGATTTAACGCTTTTTAATCACTAATCAAAATGTTAAACACTTGACTCTTAGCTAACATGTTGAGAGCATGCTTTAACATTATAACGACAAGTGAAGGGGAAAATAGTGGTGCCTATGATGTTGTCGTAGGTAATAGTGCCATTTTAAATGTATATGTATACATTATATAGATGCTTAAACATATTTACTCATATATGACGACCGATTAAATCTATTAGCTTATGCGGATGTTTATTATTAGCAAATATCAATAAATATGTTCTTTCGTTTATTGGTTATCTGTGACGTGATTAAGTGAATGGCGGTTCTTTCCTTATATGCTAAAAATCAATAAAATTTATCACTTAATTATTATGGCTTCTATTATAGTTTTATTAATTTTGCTTTCAAAAGCTTACATTAAAGGAAAGCATTAATAATTGTCTGTCAAATGATAAAAATAATATATGCATGTCCACGCTACGAAGTACTTGAACGAAAAAGAGGAAAATACTAATATTGTCGACTGTTGTTTAAATAGTAGCATAGAAATATGCCTTAAAGACAAGCTAATCTGCACACTCTAAACACAAGCGGAATTAAAAAACATGAGGAACATAAAGATGTGAAATTTGCTTGCAAGGCCAAGATGAAAATATATTCGCTTGGTTTTTTTTCTTTATTTATATAACTAATTTATTACTCGGGGTACACCCCCTGCGCCTAAATAACAATGATGGTCAGAAAGCAGTGAAGGTTGAAAGAGGTAAGAAGCGGCCGCAGCCTTCGGTAAATGTTAGGCCTTTAGGCCTTTATACATCGAGCTATCACGATGGCTACAATCACACAGCATCACACTCGAGTATACCGACTTGATAGAAGCACCACTTAACTACTTTGCTGCTCGGTAGCGTATATTCACCCAATCGCAGTCACAATTGTAATATCAACGAACTCATCGACCTGTGAGGCTGAAGCGATTCAATTTTGTGAGGATGAGCTTTTAAAAATTTAGAGGAGTTTGGCATAAGAGCTGCATTTGACCTGATAACTTTCCATTGGGTGTAACTCGCGGGATTTCCTATTCAGATATGCATTCCTTTTCGTTGCTTTGCCTCTGCTTAGCCATCCAAAAGTACAAGTTCTCCTCTTATTAACCGAATTAGTCGAACACAATTTACGTAAATTGCAACATCAGCCTTATACCAAATGATGGTTAATCTATTTGGACGCAAGCCAACGAAAACATTATTTAGTACACAAAGCTGATAGGTAAAGATAGGCCTAGCAAACTTTATGTGTAAAGCAGTCAAGAGGTCGAATTTAGACTATGAGACAGTTCAAGGTAAATTTTTGATCATAATTTTGTTTATATTAATTTAAGATATCAAGAGAGGGATAGACTGACAACTTGCTATTTGTGAGAACAAAACTTTAGATGGACTATGACATCTTCTATGCGTTTTATTAAGCATCAAAAATATGAAGAATCAAATATATATCCCCGTAGTTGGGTTACAATCTAGATATTCGTCAACCGCTTTTAGGTGGACCCTGTGATCGGTTTAGGCCAGTTTCAAATTGTTTTGCAAAAAATGGCGCTATGTTCATTTTTGCGGACGAGAGAATGGTTACCGTAGAGACAATCGAGCAGACAGAGATATGTACAGTAGAATATTAACAACAACCATTACGCAGAGGGACAGACCGTCAAAACTTAAATCGAATCAGAGTTTGATGCTTATGAAGAATGTATATCTTTCGGTAATGGATATAAAAGGTGAAGAACTGGTATTGGCTTTAGCGCGCTAGTTTCATGCTCATCCATGCATCAAAATATCAGGTTCGTATGAGGCTTTAACACTTTTGTTGAAAGGGTGAAGTGTTTTGCCATTGTGCACATGTTTTCTGGCGAATCGCGCTCGTCTTTGCAATGAAGATTTTGATAAGTATTAAAAAGAACTTTCAGATTCACATTTAACATCGGTCTTAAGGTACGTTTCTTTACCTTTTATGCATCTTCGTGATTATTTACTGCGCATGATCATATTTAAAACTTGTCCTGAAGATCTTCTCTAGGAATGTAGATCCATCAACTTTTATTTTTCAATAGCTTTGACCATGAATAGTCGGAGGACCGAACAGAATTAAATCGCCACAAAATGTTGCGCATACCAAAAATGTAAAACTTTTAATGAAATTTGTGTTATTTTTGGGGAATAGCCGCGCGTTACGTCCTTGTTACGATGGCAAAGTATAAGCAAGTACAACATTTCGCAATGAGTGAAACGTAAACCCCCCGGTTTTCTTCACCATTGCCAAAGTGAAATATAATTATATGGAAGTATGCACGTATTGCGGATAGTTTTTATATTACATCGCATTAAAAGCCTCGATTAACTATGTGCTTCAATCTGATTTTATTTACGATATAAAACGCTCTACATTTTTTGTAAACCGAAATTGGAAAACCAAAAATCGAACCGCTAGCTGCTGCTTCCAGATATAATTAAACATTACGATGTTTTTTATCTTCTCATTTCATATTTTTTAATCTTTGATATATGATTACGACTGCCTTGCATCAGGCAGTGCTCATTATGCTGCCCTGATAATTTTTGTAAGCATGCGTATGTATCAAAATGGTTTATGAAAGGCGTAAATTTTTGGTAATTTTATTTTGTTCTTGCATTCTCTCAACGTCTGAAAGAAAATTGCAGACAGTGTGTAAGCACGTCCCCTCTTTTTTTTATATCTAATCACTATTAGGGAGATTTTAATGTGTTGCCCTTAATGATACATTTTATTCACAACGTGATTTTAAACACAGCAACTTGCATGCAGTCTGACCAGTAGTCCTGCGTATTATCAAAAACGAATAAAAACCATCGTTTACCAACACTCTGTGCATCGGGCTATGTGCTGCAAAAGAGATATGCACTGTGCATACACGCATAGGATAAGGAATAAAATATAGAAGAATAACATACAAAATACTATGTATATATGTACACATGTGTGCGCAGCAATCCGCAGCCAAAAACTTGAATAAAATACAAAGAGTCAGAAATTGCTTTAGCTATCAGATGGAATAAAAAGATATGTCAGTCAATAAAAAAGAGCAGGGAAATCAACAACAGCAATAAGAATAGCAACAAATAAATGATAACAACGCTGAAAAGAAAGGTAAAGAGAATTGAGAAGTTTGTGTATGGCTTTAGAAGAAAGGGAGGATAAAACAACAAACAAGCAAAAAACAAAAAAAAAGTTCATTTTCTTATTCCTTTCAATTGAGTGAACTGAGTGGATGAGAGTGCATTTTTCTACCTTACTCTGTTACGCTCTTGTCCGAGAGAGAAAATTTCTTATTTAAATGAGAATAAATGAACAAGCCAATTATCCAATTGCTCCGCGTAATCAAAACACCGCATTACTCTGTGTGTGCCAACAGAAATTCTCCCACTTTTCGTTTTTGAGAGAAAGGCTACTTGCATCCAAGAAACGGACTGAATCAATTTTCTGAGCGGAGAGTTTTTCATTGCTGCGTTTGCACTGCATTGTACAATTCTTTTTCTCTGAGAGCAGATTTCTTCTCGTCATAAAAAGAGGGAAGAAAGAAAGGGAGAGGGAATCACCACCTTTCAACAATTGCTTACGTGAATATAAATCTAAACATTTTGTAGATTTTTTCAGTTGCTTTTGAATAATAGTATTGCAAATTGGCAAATAACGTCCGTCAGTTTTGAATTTGAGAGAGAAGTTACACAGTTATCCCTTAATTCAAGTCAATAAGCTGAGAGCAGTAAATACAATATCTGAGCGTAAACTTAACTTTGCCGTACATTCTTATCTAGATGCAAAAATAAATGCTGAGAATAATAAATTTAATTTTTGAGCGTAAAATTTTTGAGCAACCATAGCTATATATAAATGCAAGTATATGTGTATTGGATCAGTTGTTGTTTTTTTGTTGGTATATGATGTAGTTGCGCGTCGCAAATTTCCACTGACACGGCTTATTTTTTCATTTCCTTTCGCTTATACGGCATTCGCGTTGATTAAGAAAAAAAAAAAAAAAAAAAACTGAAATTTGTATTTTTGTATTGAAATCTTTATGATAATTTCGTATTTTTTCTTTCGTCGCCGTTTTGGTTTTAAAGTGCAAATATAAAAAAAAAAACAAATTATTTAACATTCATTCATAAATTCAACAACAAAATCAAAGCATAAAATTTTTACTATTTATTGGTAAATAGAAATAAGTGTGCGCAGCAAAACAATTTGAAGAGAGGAAGAACTTCAACATATATTTTTAATATAAACTACACTGCAGTATACAGTAGGGAGGGTTTAATGCGTAAAAAAACGCGTATGCCTTCTATCCACTAACTTTTAGATGCATAAATGCTTATTGTGAGTGTGTGGTATGTTAAACAATTCGGGGTAAACATTTATAAAAATTTTCATTTATTCGCGTTCGGGATGCGCATTTTATTTAATGTTTAATGGTTTGAGACAACAGAGGTATTATTTCGCCTGTGTGCATTTTAATTCATTTGTTCGTTCCTGTGCTATCACTACTTCACAAAATCGTATAGAAACACTAAAAAAAAAAGACAATAATGCTATACGCGACTAAGTTACGTGTCGTGGCTAAAAATATAAATTCTGAATAAAATTAAAAATATATGAAAAATACTTATCATATTTTATGTCGAGTAAGGAAAACAAAAAAGCTTTGTAAAGAGATTTGTATGGACGCTTGTAACTATCAAAAACAAAATTGGTTGACAAACACAGTAACTCCGATTCGTTGACAAGTCTGCCCTTATGCGACTGCCGCTTAATATTTATCTCAACTATCCAATAAAGACTGAAGTTTTGTTCATTTTAAGGCGAAGTGGGAATTTGAATTTTCACAAATTTAACGTTTTCAAGGAACCACATTTTGGATTAACCCTCTGAACCAGCCTGAGATTAACAGATTTGATAAACGCAAATAGCCTCGCATTGCACCTGGAATATACATCGGGAAAGAGTCGATTATTTTTTTAAAGTCTTAAAGCTTTAAAAAAAATTTCGTAAAGAGGAGACAGAACATCCGTTCCATTGTTCCCTTCTTCCCTTCTCTAGAGGATAAGGACAATCTTAAATTGCCTTTATTGTCCGGATACATAAAGAAAATTGGTGAAAGGTGAAGTGATAACTCGGCAACAACTATCAATTGAATGCAAATCTTGACAAATTAAAATTACCAACAAGAAATTATTGAATAATAGACTGATAAGAGAATTTTTTTTGTTCAAAATACTCTATAAGGCTTATTCTTAAAAGGAGAGGACCTTTGAATGGATTAGCCATTGTCCCCTTGTTAACACTACAGGAATTGACACCCACTAGAGTAGACCAAACTCCGATTGCAACTTGTAGCAAAATGGCTTCAGAATTCTTTATAAACTGGGCTTCTGTGTCCATTTCGATGATACGAATCATACAAATTACCTTCCAACTCTGTACAATAAAATGGAAAGTCGAAACTTAACACAAGTTAAATTCTGCCTAAAAGTGTCTCAATCCTTTTTTTATCAACAAAGTTGACTCGTCGCAAAAGATGAAGAAGAAATGAGTTCAATAATCGTTTTTTTAACCTTTCCTTTCTGCAAATAAAGATATCTTCCGAAATAAAATGGTTATTTGTAAATAGTGAGCTGGGATCGCCTGCTCATTTCACTCGTTCACTGAAACGTTTAATTAATGCTTTTTGTATTAGAGTTAATCGTTTTCAACGTACGCAATATTTATCCGAAGCATTTTCAAAGGTTAGTGCGAAAGAAAATCACAAATTTTCCCTTCTTAGAGAAATAAAACGCAAAAAGAACTATTCTTAGGCATTTTTCAGCCTCGAAAAAAAAGAATCTTTGGCGAAACAATTGAAATGGCGAGGAAGGCTAACTACACAACCTTTTTCGCATTTGAGTGGACAAAGGTATAGCAACATGCAAGGACGATTTTTGGGTTAAAAAATAATGTTATTATTATTACAATTAGTTTAGTCAGAGATATATATTCAAAGATATAAAGACATAAAGCACTAACATCCCGGGCTATCGACTTTATTGAAAACCCTACCGCACTTGATATTTGAAATCACGACCATTGCGTTGTTGCTCGAGATTCTTTAATTACTCAGCCACTCAGGCAGATAAAAGAAAAATATTTGATATTTCGATTCGTTTTACTGAACAATACTATACCGAATATCGTTTTTAGAATGATTTGACAGACTCTGGAAAACTCTATTGTGCAAGTACATTCGATTAATCACAGTTAGGAGAGTTGTTTGATTTAAATTCATTACTAATTGCTTTTACTCTTTTTCTCCTTTTTTTGCATTCGAGAGAAGTTACTTTGGAGTTGTTCCAAATTTCTTTCTTACAGACTTATTGTTTCAGATAAGTAAATATTTTCTTCAATCTTACAACAAAGTTGCCCGTATTATAAAAGCAAGGAAACCCATTCTTACTTCTGAAAGGGGGAAATCAACTTCACTTAGAAGACTATTTCTAGGCAACTATTTTATTTATTTTTCATGTAAAGTGAATAAAATTTGACATTGATGAAAAATTCTAATAGCGCGAAGCAATTCAAATCCCAAAGAAAAAGCTTGAAGGAAATAATCGAACTCGAGCCCCCGGAGAAGGAGATTCTGCCGCACTACGTTTTCGAGTTTAATATTGACTTTGAGTTTTAAGAATACGAATAGTTGCGATGCACTGGTTTAAGGCTCCTACCTTGAAAAGAATCTCACGCTGGTTAAAGATCCCATGTACACGAAAGGAAATGACTCTTACCCTAGTAAGGGCGAAAAAATCGAATTTCATATTGATTAAAGGTCCCAAATGTAAGGACAGACTCTAGTCGTACACTGAATGAAAGTGTGTGCAATGTACTCCATAAACAAATGACTTCTGCTTTGAGCGAGCTTGATTAGGAAACGTTATCGTTTAACCACTTGAAAGTTACAAGTTAAACTAAAAAAACGTTGTTTCATTTTATGTCGCAAGGACAGAAAACTATTTACATAATCAGAAAAATGGCATATAATCCTAAATAAAGAAAGTTTGAGAACACGGAATAATCGAGATTAAGCAAACAAAATTATATAACAAACTTTACAAAAAGACAAAAAAAAAAAAAAAAATTCAAAAAGGAAAAATTAAAAATAATGATTAAAAGTCATTAAAAAGACGAAACATATCCTTTAGTTCTCAATTTAATATAAAATCCCCATGGATTAAATTTCACCTGATTTTCTATGTATCGCCACTTCTCGCCTGTAATTATACTCAACGTGGTGATCACGAGCTCACACCAAACATTATTCCTCAGCATAATCAACATCATCTGCAGCAAAAAAAAAAAAAAACAAAAGCAACAGCGACAAGAGTAAAAGAAGAAACGTAATAAATATTTAACAAAACAAAAAAAATTGTACGAAATTTTTTGTATACAAAAAAAGAAAAGAAAAAAGATGAGAAGAAAAACAAAACCATCAAAGCTGTGAACTTAAAATTTCAGCACAAATGTTTTTTGTTCCTTTTATTTACTTTTGTGAACATAGTGGTACGAATCAAGACAACTGAGAAAAGACATAACAATAATAAAAACAAAAAATTAAATCTTCTCCTTAACCTTAAAGATTGCATCATTTGCGCTCTTCCCCCCTCCTTTATCGTAACTTCATAATACGCTCTTTGCGTTGTTGTCAAAAACAAAAGCAGAAAGAACGCGAAAGGCTATAAAAAGAAATAAAACCTTAGCGACGCCGTTGTGACCGTGTTATTGGCTTTGGCTGGTTTGTGCTTACAGGCAACCGTGATCTGACCGTCATCTCATATCTTGAAGCCACGATGTGATGTTGATCATCATCAACCTCATAATGAACAGTCAAGTCTAAAAAGATACCTTTCGAAGTAACAACTACAACAGCAACAACAATAACAATAACAACAAAGCGTTATTGCCAAGGTGCTCTTTTCCTAAAATTCCAAATATTGAGAAGAAGTAAATAAAAAAACTAAAAAAAAAAAAAAATCCTTTTCTGTTTTTATTGGAGAAACGCGTTCGTGCAACAATTTATTTTCTGTGTACACATTCGCTGTTACTTCCTTTACTCTGCGATTCGTTGCTTCCTTACTTTATTCAGTGGCAGCAGCATAGCTTACGCTGTTTTTTGTTTTTGTTTTTAGAGAAAAGAAACTAAAAAACAAATCAAACGTCATTGGCTTTTGTTTTACGAATTCTCTCACTTTTACGTTTGTTTTTGCTTTCCAATCTCTATATATACATGAGTAAATGCATATATATATATATATGCATATATAAAAGGAAAAACCACAACAAAATAAACGGAATAAAAGAACATTTGAACGTCGTAATATCATTTCATCTTCCCATCTGTGTGTGTGTGTGTGTGTGTGCTCGTGTGTGTGTGTGTGTGTATTACTACTGCCTTATAGTAGTACCAGTCCGAAGGTAACAAACAAACCTTGCAAACAAACTGAGCAATATTATTGAAGAGGAACAACGTAAGAAAAACGTTTTAAAACGCGTTGTTACGGGCGTTGTTGTTGATATTGTTGGCCTGTGTGACGACAACGACGACTACGTTGCCTGTGTTCCTGTTTATTAAATTCAACAAGTTTCTTAAAAACGAGACATGGCGCCGAAATCCAGAAAAAAGAAGGCTCACGGTAAATACAATATATAAAAAAATAAAATCATATTTTAATAATTTTCTGAATTTTTGAATTTTTTATTCTCTTTATGTTCTCTCCTATGTGTACACACATATATATCTATATATATATACGTCTACTGTAAATAACTCACTACTTTGTCGTTTGCTATTTAACATGCAATTAATTAAAACAATATAAAATGTCTAAAAAGTTTTGAGCTTCGAGCCAAATTGACATTAAACTATTAGGTCGTTTGCTATCAACCGTCACATGTATGCGAAATAGCCGTTTCTGATTGTAGATTTGTGTCACAAGAAAGAGAGATAATTTTACTTTTTTCGAATGATTTAGACACACACACATACGTAAAATCTATTCCGATTGATGTTGTATAATTTGGGAAGAAAATGTTGAGCTTTGATCGAAGGCATTAATCTTAATGTCCCTATAGTAGGCACTATAGGGACATGTTCAGTTTAGTTTTAGTTTAGTTTTCCATGCGATACAACACTATATTCAGAAAGTAATGAATGAAAAATATGCTCTCTGCCTCGAACGTTTTGAAGACCATGCTATTATATCGAATATATATATATGTATATAAATATATATATATATACATACATATATGTTTTATGTGCCATATACTTTGACATAATATATGAATCTTTTGTTCAGTGGGAATTTTCGACGGGCGAGTCGCATTTCAAACAATCCTCAGCCTCAAGTCTTCAATATAACACAGCGTTTAATAAGTTCACTAGGATGACATATAGATGTCGCCACTATTGATGAACTCATATGAGTATCAGGTTGCACCAACTTTCAAACGAAAGGTGTTGAAATTTAATGGCACGCCGACCATTAGTTTACCATTCGCAGTTGTTTAGTGCGTATATCTGTAAATATACAGTAGTCCAATAAAGTCTACATGCAGTAGGAAAAGCTGAAGTTTGTTTTATTAACACCTACATTCATAGATTGAGCGTCAGAAAATATAATTCTTAAAAAACGAAAACTGCTATTAAATAATAATTCAACATTTTTTTGACTTAAGATAGAGTTAGAAAACAAAAAATGTATGTAGACTTTGCTTGGCTACTTTACATATGTATATATTTTTTTCTAGTCTAATATGCGAACACAATATGCGAACAATATTTTTCCAAAGTGTCCTTACAGTTCGAATAAAACTGGCAGAGAGAGCTTTTGAAAAATTCATTGATCTCCGTTTGGTTTATTATGGTTACATCAGACTTTCGTCGTTTTTATCTCAAAGCTTCAACTAAAGAATTGAGCTTATAAAAATTTAGTTCGCTTCTTGTAGACGGGGTTGACTAGCATATAAACGAAGGTTTTTCCTTTCTTTTTTATTCGCTGTGCAAGGCAATGCATGGTGTAGATGATCCTTTTTTTCATACAATTCTGCTAAAAAATTCAAATGTCAATCGTTTTCAAATCCTTCTATCAGTCGTGAGCTATTCTCACCTACTAATACGTGTTGTCGTAACCAGTATTATTTTTAAAGTTAGGCAACATCTTAAAGCCTACAATTCCAAAATTTTTATATGAAGTTTTTATAAAACATGGCACTTTTATATGCTTAAAAATTTGGTCGCGACCAACATGAGATTTTAAGTCGTCTATTCGTTTGGCACTGGTATTTCGATCAACATCAACAAAATAACGGAAATCAGAAATTGAGATCGTGAAAATTCTTCTTGCGACATTAAAGCACAAGCAACTCTGCCACAATAAACATATTTCAAGGCTACCAGTCCTGCCAAAATACGTTGAATCCAATTGTGTGTGGTATCCACGCAGTGAAAACTGTGCTGATTGCAATTTTGAATTTATGGCAAATATATGGAAAATAATGTTTTGTTTGAATTGAATCCTCGCCGATTTGAATTAGAGCGGAAGAGTTACTCAGGAGTTACTGTGGGAACCCATAATGCCGTATTGTCATTTTATCCTGTACGTAACGTTATGTCCCTTTTAAATGTCATTCCACAAACTGTCCCACAGCCAATGGGGTCACGACTTGCATTCTTCCTTTCCGTTGAAGTGCCAGTGGACATCAAAAATATGCCTTGAAATGAAACCAGCCAATACATAGAAAAAAGGGCATCTTGTGAATGGGTCCGTTTCGCAATGACGAAAGAGTTAGATATCTGCTGCAGATCTTCAACTACTGTAATATTAATATTATAATAATATTTAATTTTTTTTTATATTAATCTTTATCGTCTTTTAATTATTATGTTAAAGGAATTTAAGAGCGGACTCATCGAGTCTATTATTAAGCTGATGCTGGTATATTTAACAAGGTTGACAGATGACCAGCAAAGATACGATTGGCTAGCTTGACGGACGTAACCGTATCAGCTGATCGCTTCTTTATGTAACCTATGTGTGCTTTAGGCATTAAAAAAATAAATACCGTTGCAAACGATTACAAAATAGATTTTCGAGCTGATTGCTTCAAATAATGTGTACTGCTCGTAAAGCGATGAAGACAAAGTTTTTAGAATTTATACTCAAATAGTTAAACAATTGGATTATGACTATATTCAAGATTAGATTTCACCTCGACACAAACTAAATAAGTTTTGTACACACAAAAACATACATTAAGCGCCACTCATAAATTCCAAAACAGAAACTGAAAAGTATTGAATGTGAAAGCATGCGAGAGTTCAGGTAATGGGCCACAAAGGGATGTACGAGCTGCCATTACTAAAACATTCATTCGAATATATCCTTGTGATCAAAAGCGAATATATTTCTTGAGTTGTGCTATATGCGCAATTCTGAATGTATGGGGTATAAAAATTTCGGTTCATTACAATCTAAGATTTCTATCGAGCACCACACATAAAAGTAATGAAAAGAAAATCCAACGAGAGGAAAGAAAAGAATTTTTAATGAGACAACTGGAAAATGCTTACTATATACACAAAAGCATAAAAGCATATACGCAATCATATCATCATAAATGTGTGTTAAGCTAGATAAACATCCATATGTACATTGTATATATTTATGTATATAAGTAAACTAAAAATAGTTGCATATCTGGGCAATCATGCATGTATAGGTAGATAGGTATGCATGTAAAGATGTGGGTAAGCAACGTATAAAATCTTAAATTCCAATACAACACATGTGTCGTATACGGCGTAAAAATAATCATGTTCAGTAAATGAAAAGAACACAAACAGCAAATTATGTATGTATGTATGTATGTATGTATGTATGTATGTATGTACGGATGAACCTATCTTTTTGTAGGCAATGCAACATAAACATAGTATACATAGAGCACACAAACAGGATACAAAACATTACTTGTAGAATGACAGCTCACAAGTTACAAGCATTCATGCGCATAATGTATTTGTGGATTCGCTAGAGAGAAAAAGAGATCTTTTAAACGAACAAAAAAAAAAAAAGAAAAGAGAAGAAAAAGAAAAACAAAAATAAACCGAGAAAAAGTTGTACTAGGACTACACCGAATCACTCAACACTCAGCAGCTATTATCTATGTTGTAAAATTTCACGTAAAAGATTCCATAATAGAAATGTTAATCAGATCTTAGGTTTTTTTTTAAATATTTACTTAGCCTTAATTAATTTATATATCTACTTAGGCTCATCCAATATGTACTCACTTAGTCTACCATCAACAAACGTTGTTTGTTCATTAGGATTACTACGGTTTAACCTATATTTAGATCGAAATGTAAACATTTTCTCATATCCATCCAAAATCTTAATATTCGAGTCGTTGCCTGTATACACAATAACGACGTATCGTAAACGCAGCTGCAGCAAGCATGACAACATTGATATACCTTCGATGATGTTTATAGAAATAATAACAAAAAGCAACGTTAATGTAATCTGAGCTGCATACAAATCACTTAAAGATTTAAAACATTTTCATTTGTTTTTATATTATGCTATGTTGTTGCTGTAGGAAATGTTAAGAATGATTTTTTATTTAGTTTTCTTTTTTCTGTTTTTTGTTTAGTGAATGGCATTTTCTTAGAAGCAGGAACGAAACATAACAACACAAATTGTCCATTAAATTCAAGAGTTTACAAGAAATATTAATTTTATTGACAGTTTTTCAAGTACTTTTCATTTATACTTAAAGTATAAGAGTAAATAAACTTTTTCATAAAGAAAAAAAAAAAAAGAATTACCTCCTTGCCTACTTACATGACGATATTCCAGACTATCCTACCTGAATGCGTTGTTTCACTGTTTTCATGGGTACATCAGAGCTCAAATTTGTCAAAGAATAATGACGCATCTAAACCAGGTGGAATACAAGTATCTTTCATAAAATGTGCAAGATTTTGACAGCCTCACAATAACAACAACATATAAACAAATACAAAAGTTGTTAGCCACGACTAAGAATACTGGGTGATGGAATTAAAAGCCAATGATGCTTCTTTTGTCAACAAATTTGGGAAAGTCGGGGAAAAAAATTCACTAAACAGCTTAAAACAGCTTTCAATACTATAGGCTCACAAGTGACTTTTAGTTGAGGTAAACTTCAATGTTCCCAATCGTTCTCCCAATAACTTTATTTTCATAAAACTCGGCTTTTCAGCCCCATTCAGTCCAACCTTTGTAAAAGTCTAATTGATAATATCGTGACTAAACGGTAAGATCAGTATTTAAGTTAGATTTCACGGGCATATCGAATATCAGAAAAATTGGTTTTTGTAAATCGGTAGCACTCTGGTAGACATTTAGGTCAAATTTAAAATCACATACGTCGTTAGTGTTTCATCTCCCCTTGGTTTTGTACGACACAAAAAGCATTTATTCCAATTTTTACTACGTCTGTGAAATCGTGCTTCTTGACTATTAATACGTTATAAAACGCGTCATTACGGAAGACTTACATAATTTGCAAATAATCGATCAATCGAGCGAAAATCGTGGAAAAGATGAGCCAAAATCGTAACAATCGCGATAAAATCGCTCAAAAA